CCTACCTGTGAGACCTACTGTAGGGAACCTGCTTTGGCAGGGGGGTTGGACTCGATGATCTCTGGAGGTCCCTTCCAACCCCTACAATTCTGTGATTCTGTGATTCTGTGATTTACGTATGACTAGAGTTTCATATGGTTAAGACATGAAATTTGGTATCAACACCTGATCTTGTATTTTTTTCATTGAAATGGTTTTGCTGAAGTTCTGAATATTCAGAAATGTCGGGTATTAACCAAACCTGAACTCTGTTTTGTTTTATTCACAAAATTTACCTGTCTTAAAGATCAAGATTTCTATCTGCAGCTCTTCAGTCACTAACCGTTGCTCTTAAAAATGTGCAGCAGGTTGTGACACAGAACTACCCAAAATTCAAATTTTATTATGCAGAAGTAATTTAATAAGAAAGTAATTGTTATCAAGTTAGTTCAATTTTCACGTGGGAAAGAATGAGATCTTTTCCAAGGAAACAAAACACTTAAAATCCTTTCAATGAGTATAAAAATAATTAGCAATGGATTTTCTCATGCTATCATATTCTTTTACAGACTGCACATTTAAAAAAAAGACTTTGCATAGAAGAGATATTAATAAAGATGAAATATGAACAGCACAGGAAAAGTTTTGTATATGGCAAAACTTCTAAGATGTTTGCTCTTCTATGTTTGCAGAAAATACCTTAACGTTCTTTTAATTTTCTGTACCACAAGTATCCTTTTTGAAAAAGCATAAATATTTCCTGGTCTTTTACTAACTGCATTACATTTGGATACTTTTCTCACTCTAATGGTACTAATTTGTTCCCTCATTTTTTTTTCTGCAGGTGATCTTTACTACTGCCAAATAGCAATCAGATGGAGAAACATTTAATGTTTTTGGTTTTGTCTGTCTTGGCAATAGGACTGTAAGCTGGTCTCCTTAAGGCAGAATATCCCAAGTTACATCACCTCGTTCAATTGGCATCCTTAAAATTCTTGTTTTGATACCTTAGCATTTTAATTGTTTAAGACTTTTTTATTTTTCACCTGAATGAAGATAGTAGAATGTGGCTTACAGGATTTGATTGCTTTGTGATGCTGTGATACTGTTGCATAAATAAAGTCCATTCTGCAGAACAGCAGAATATCGAATATGTATAATATTCGTGATCGTGATTCGTGATAAGTGATCCATTTAAAGTCTAACTCACGCTTTTAGTTTCACATTTTCTGTGCCTTGGTCCTGGGTGTCCTTTCAGACACAGGATTTCCTGAACTCTGTCACTGTGGTCGATCCACACCTGTCTACATTATATATCTTTCTCTGCAAGAGGCTGAGCTGGTCTCTCCACAGTGGTTCCCTCACCTCAGTCTTTCCAAGATCTTCAGAGGTCTCCCCAATCTAGTCATGCCCCTGGGTTCAAGGGAAGAAAGTATTTGTTGCTGGACACACCTTATCTTAGTTTTAGTCAATTGTTTTTTTCCTAGTGTCCTACAGAAACAAGAAGGATTGTAATCTGTGTTTGGTGGACAGGACTAATGAATTTCCCATGTAAATTGCTAACATGAGAAAAATTACAGAAAAGAGAATGATAAATGTGGGCTCTTTTGTCTCTAGATTTCTAAATAGATGACTGGATACTCAGATGCCATAAGTACTGGGTTTGTTTCAGTGAGCTGCAGGTTATTACAAAATATTCCTACATTTTGCAATTCAAGTTATAAAAATTCTGTGGCAAATTTAATATAATAAGCTAATGTAATCTATGGTTCTTAATAGCTTCTCCAGGTGAATATTTATACTATTTTCTTCTATATTTAGAAGTGAATTCCAAATTTAAATCTATTATCAATGCATGAAGTTTCTTTGCTGTGCAAATCAGAGAGTATGCATGAGTGCATGTGTGTGTGCTTATCTATATATGACTATACAAAGATACATAAATAGGTGAGTAACAAGAAACTAAAATAAAAGACGGAAGTTAAATATTTTTATTGCTCCACTGCCCCTCCCGCCCCCCCCCGAAAAATGAATGATAACGTGGATTTCTTCAAGCGAGACCTTGTGGCAAACTTTACAAGATTAAGTAACTAGTTAAACCTGCTCCTCTTATATGATAATTTGTTATTGTTTTTAGTATAACAGCACATTTCTTCCATAGTACCTTCTAGAGCATTTTGATCAAGAAATAAAAGCAAATATGGAAAATATTCTGCAACCTGTTATGTTGCTAGGGTTGTGTACACTGAGTGGAAACTTTTCCTCCACACACACAAATGATACCTTATTTTTTCTGCCTACTGTTAGCAAGGAGATTGTGTTGTGTATGTTCATTTGTTTTAATCAGCTTTTTTCATTCACTGAAATTGCACTCATATTAATGAACAAATATCTTATCTTTAAAGATTGAGTTGACAGTTTACCCTGTAAACTTTTGCACTTTTTCCTTGAAATATTTGTAGGAGTTAATTAATCTTAATTCATAGTTTGTGAAAAAAGGACAAACTGAAGAAATTAATTTATAATTCTATGGAAATTGAAGTCTTAAGAAAATCTTCACTTTTTAAACTTTTATACAGATAATAAAAACTTTTCTATTATTTTATTAATGTTTGTTTGTTATTTTCTTCATGTAAAATATCTATTTTTTCTCCAAGTTAGGAAAAAAAAAAAAAAAAAAAAAAAAAAAAAAGAAATAATCCCACCCATTCACTAGCCCTCATTTTGTTGTACTAGGGCAACACGCTTTAGTTTTTTCTATCATTCAGTTATAAATTTTATGCTGATTAGCCTCTACCATGAGATATTTTCCAGTAAACTTAACAGAAATAAATGTCTAAGTTGTGTTGGGGAGCTATGTTGAAGGCTCCTGTTAACAGAAGCACAAGTTCCCTGTAGATGAAGATTTTGCTGTGCATTCCATACAACATGAGTAAACTGGCAACCACATCACCAGAATGGTGAACATAACTTCACAGTATAAAGAAGGCATGTCTGTTTTACTGGCAGGTTCTTCCTCTGCTCTGCTTTCTGAAATCATGCAGGTCAGATGAAATAACTGACCTTATTTTACAGACTTTGAACAAAAATTTAAAATCAGTTAGAGAATGGGTGTCCAAACTTTTGCCTTGCCTGGGCCCCATTTAGGATAAATTGTCTTGGACCACATATGGAAAATGTTATTTATGTATATTAGCAATATTACAACTTCTTATGTTTTAATAATTTAAAAAAAAGAAAGAGCAGCAAAAACATAACTCTAGTGGGATATTTGGCCTTGTTTCACAAAAACAAGGCCTGGTTTGATGGAAGTGGTTGCAGTTCTCAATGACCTCTCATAATGTTAGAGATTTTTTGATGAAATTTTACTCTCCTTGTGTTTCATCCTCAACAATAATTGTACATACGGCCAAGAAGGGGTGATGTGAATAAGGCATGGCCGTGAAGTGAGAGATATCCTTCTCTAGTAAGAGAGAAGTGTAGTGAAAAGACAATTGAATATTTGATTGACTGTCTAACTCTATACATTCCATTTGAAAACGTGCAGGTAATGTATGTATGCCAACTGAAAATGGAGTCACAAATATACAAAAAAAAATGATCAGTGTTAATAGCATCACAATGTTTGGCTGTTGCTGAGCTATGGCTTTGTGCCTGGGGCAAGGCTGCTTGGTGGAAAGAGCTGATGCCATGATGACATGGAGCAGGGGGCAGCTGCAGGGTGGACTGGACTGGATACTGTGCGGCTTGTAGGCAGTGGGCTGAATGAGTTAGAATAATGGTGCGTAGTTTCAATAAATTTGAATTGCTTAGGACACTTACTTTCCTTTTGAATATGAAACTTAATCCAAGTCACTGATTGCTACATTGTTTTGAGGTAATATTATCATAGGATCATTCTAACCTCAGTTTAGATTCATCAGGAGGTCCTGCAAATTCATAAGCTTTTTCAAAAAGCCAGTCCAAAATATCATGCTCTAATATGAAATATAAAATGAAATACAGCTGCCTTCATTAGGGAATTTTGCTACAAATACTGTACGAAACTCTACTGTGGATTTGATATATTTGTGTATCTGCTGTTGTAAGATTTTATTTTTAAATAAGATCAGCTCTGTCTTCACATATATACCGTATAGGCTATATCTTATATGAACATCTTATTCCTACAGTTCCTCTAATTTGAATGGAGGTCATTTAATTCATGTTTAACAAAATCTCTGAAGCAGTCTATAATAAAACTAACAGAATCCTAACTGAATGGAGAAATATGGTTGGCTGAAAAACAGTTGGGTGACTATCAGAACTGGCTAATCTGGGCATTTACATTCCCTATTGCTTAGCCACAGTGAAGCAATTATAACACTTTTTTTGTTGTTGTTTCCCATTTCTTGAGGAGAAAAAAAAAAAAATTGTAAAAATATTATTTCAAGTAAGTTGGTGGAATTTAACATCCTTCAACTTTCTTTCCAAACAGAGCATCTGCTATGCTGTGTTTATCGTACTCTTAATGTATCTCATCTGTATCAAACATTTCCAACCAAGACAGAAAACAGCAAGAGCTGAAACATTGTTATGCTAATGATCTTCACAAGGAATACTTGCAGCTATCCTCAGCTATAGAATGGCTTCTTTTAACTTCCTTCTCCTCAAATTTCAATCGTACACTAACTTTTAACATTTGAATTTGTACAATCAAATTAATTAACTTGGGTGGATTTTTGGAGTAGTGTTTAGAATCAATAGGTCTTTAAAGAGTAGGTGCACTACAGAAATAGCAACAATGGATTTGTATTAAGTGTGTACATCTGTCAAATTTATTTGCTGAATATATATTAAAAATAGTATAAATTGTTTTCCCAGCAGTAAATAAATAAATGTCAACTGAAAAGAATAAACATTCATTACTTAAAGCTATTTCTTAATTTGATGTGAAAATACATTAAAACTATTATAAATTTTAATATTAACTTTTATAAAAAACTATTTCAAATTTAGTGATTTTATGTTCTGTTCCTTAGGAAATAACAGGAGATCGGGATCGGTCACAGCTAGATTCAATGGTGCTGTTAATTATGAAACTGGACCAGCTGGATCAGGATATTGAAAATGCTCTCAGTGCAGGTTCTTCCCCATCCAGCACTCCAACATACAAACGGAGGCATATACCTGTAAGTGGATATCTTCATTATTTTTCTAAGTAAAATCTTTTCTAACTTAATCTTTAAAAAGATAATAATAATAAAATTTTATACTTCTCACATTTATCAGCTTGTTGGTTTCTTAACTAAAAAAAAAAAAAAAAAAAAAAAAAAGCTGTGTTTGTAAATAATTTGTCTTGTTTTGTTGTTTTTTTGTGTGTTTCGAAGGAAGTAGAAGTGGCATCTGGAATTTTCTTTCAGCATGTTTTCATTAAAGGACATTGTGAAAGTTTCCCAGATGAAAAATAAGGACCACACACTCAGAAAATGCCTAGCTCTCTTTTTTTATAACTTATTATAAATGCAACAGAGAGGCAGGATCACCCCTAGTCTCAGAGCACATGTTTATGTGTCACTTGACATTAAATAGTTTGATTTGAAAGTAATTATGAGCTACAGGTCTATCTTTTCTGTTCACTGGATGGTCCTGGAAATTTTTGGCAGAAATGTATGTATGTATGAAATCCTCCATCACTTAAAATAAGATTCTGGTGAAAATCATACAAGTTATCTTAATTTTTAAAATTATTTTCTTTGTTTAAATGATGTTTTTAAATAAATACAATTCCTTGCTAAGAGTAGACAGAAGAGACTATGTAGGACACAAATGTGATGGATGTGTTCTTTTTTCCTGAAAAATGTTTACACGTAGCTGTAAAGAACCTGAAATGACTGACCCAAGGTGTTCTCATGCAGGCTTCCTGTTAATTTTATTCACATGTGTAGCAGCTGTTTTTCAATTTAAGAAACCTGAGAAATACTACCCCAAAATATCTAGGCTTATATTCAGATTGTTTGTTTTTACTGGTGATATTTTCTTCTAAAATATGAGAGGTTTTTCCCATTAAAGTCAGATTTCATTATTGCAGTATAGTCTAGTGAGTGCTCTATTGATGAGGAAAGCAGTATTTAGGTTTCAGTGGTTTTGGAAGATAGAAATAATCATTTTTATAGAATATTACATAAATATACCTCTGATAGTTAGAATTTTCCCTTTGGATTTCAATGTATTCACATCATCTCCTTGTGCACTGATGGAAGAGGAAAGCTCAAATATGACTCATCTTGCTAATGAATGTCAGCATTTTAGGTAACTTCATACAACAAAATAGGTAAGTAAGTAAGCTTGTAAGGCAATCAGAGGTGGTGCCTGTTTCCAAGCTGCAAAGAAGCCCACCAGAAAAAGGTACAGAGACATCTGTCTAATCGGCAGCTTCTTTTTGACAGGCGCTTAACTGGAATTAATGAATCAAAGGACCACCACTTATTTCCAGTTCAGGAGCTCCTGAGATATTTCTGCTCCTTACTTCAGCTACTCTAGGAACATGATATTAGGAAACTGAGGTTTTGTCCGCATAGTGTTGGCTGGGGTTAATAGCTCAGGCTCTTTTGCAAGCACTGTATTCACAGGCTGCATTTCAGCTAATAATCTGGCCAGTATAGGGCAGTTCCTTGACATGGCCTGCTCAGTGCTGGTTAAATTTTGCAATGTATCTGCAAGCAATACAAGCGCCGGTCTTTATTCTGTACACTAAATCAAACATTCTCTTCTTTTTACTTCCTCAAAAATAAAATATTATTTCTTCTTTTTATTCTCAAAAAAAAAAAAAAAAGTAACCAGTGTCATTAAAAGTTATTTCTAGTTAAAATGCTCTTACAAGTAGCTTATAAGTGCTTACTGAGCCCAAAAAACTAGGGAGCTGTACCTCTGAATAGTATGAACTGTGGTACAATGATGTCATTTCAGCTGTGTAATAGCTTACAGATGTTTACTGAGCTTGCAGTGTAGTGGGAGACAAGGTGGGAGCACACAGGAAACACTGAACATTAGAGAAAAATGTCAGTTCAGGGCTGCAGAAGTCTGATTTTTCTTACCCTGCATTCTACTTTTTAGGGGAGTTTTAGCTTTGATGTTAGTGGTGATTTATAATTTCATAACAGCAGTTAATGCGAACTACCACGTTGAATAGGAGAGCAAGAGAATGTCTAGGTTATAGAAAAGTATAGGTCGAATTACAGTTATACTGGGAATTAAGCATATAATTTTGAGTGATTCTATGTAAATATACACATTATTTAAAAGACAAACTTTTATTTCATATTCACATTACTAAAGAGAGTTGTAACTTTTACCAGGATGGTGAATCTGGTTCTGAAATTGGAGCAGATGTAGGACATTCTCAAACAAGCTTGTCTCCTAACATCCATACTCCTGATCAAACATCCTTCTGTTCAGCAGCCACTTCTGGAGCTAAACCAAAGGCTGGGGTGAGTACAAAGATTGTTTTTGACATTACACACAGTCTTAATCTGGAAATGAAATAGAGTAATTTTATACTATTTCCTACATTGGTCATACAGAGTTGTGCATGTGACTCTGAAGAGAAAGGACTACTAATGCCAGCTGTTTCAAGATGCTTTCTGAGTGGCAGAGAATCCTTAAGCAAATTGAAAGTTTGACGTGTAAGAACATGCTATTATTGGGTGTTGATTGTGATAAGCTGAATATTTCTTTGAGAAACTAGCTTAATAGAGCTATTCTATTTTACTTTGGAAGATAATGTTTCCTGTAGTGGAGTCACTTGGAATAGTTCCTAAATCTCTTGAAGTATGGAGATTGGGGGGAGGGGGGGGAGGGAGGGAAAGATAGCTGAATCACTTAGCTTCATTTATGATGCCCAAAATCTGTCCTCATAGTCCTCTTGAAAGGCTAAATTGTTGTGTACTACAAGAAGAGGTATTGCCCAGTTGAGGGGAAAATGTCATTCCAAGGACTAATTTGGTGAGCAGTTGCATACGCTTGGGATTGGAGGGAAGCCTCTGAGCAGGGAGAAGCTTTCCTGCAGGTGTCAGTGCGCACGAGCTGGAATTATAATTCCTGAGGTACAAATCTGGGAGTTTAGATGGCAAAGAACTTTTGTCAAGCAGTTTCAAAAATGCTAGAGCACTCTTCCGTAAGGACTTGTGCCAGCCTTGAGCAACATATTCAAATTGAGGTATACACAGTATACAGTACACAGGCAGGTATCCAGGCACTATTTCCACCTTCTAAAATAAATTCTTGTAAGCAGCTAGTGGGGTTGCTTGCATACGCTCTTCCTCTGTATATTTAATGTGCTTTTCTGTATTTTATCACTCACATAAGGGAGGATTTGCTGATTTCTCAGGCACTCTGCTGTATAGTTTACTCAGATTGTAGGTAATCAAGTTCTCAGCCTTCTGTATCCGTTCATACCTCTCAGAAGAATGGTTCTATCTTTTGCCATTGTCCATCTACTGAAGAATCCTTCTTCATAGCACTCACTTGTGCAGAAAAACTTGAATATTGCAGAAACTCCTGGCATACTTCTGCTCCCAATTGTGCTTACTCCTTCCACTATCTTACAAAGCAGAGAGAACTTCAGCTGAAAAGTCTCCCTTACAGAGAGAACACCACATTTGAGGATGCTCTATCATCAGTACTACCACTGCTGGTAACTGGACCAGCAGAAACTCTAGGATAAAAAATTTAAATATGAAGTGTGATTTGCATAAATATATATGTTTATAGAAAGTAAAATAAAGGCAAACTGTCACTTACTGCATTGCAATAATAGCAAGTTAATGAATGCCTTTGACTGAGGCACTAACAAAAGTTCTAATAAACATTTACATTTAGGATTGTTCACTTGTACAAAAATAAATTCACTTGTAATTCATCATCAGCGCATAACTATAGCAAATACAGTGCTCTGCACTCCGTCACTGCACACAATGCAGCACAAATTCTCAAATAAGTACATATGTCATGCTGGAAGGTAATATCCCATTTTCCAGATCCTGAGAAGAGAGAAGACACACTCTGAGGTATTAAACATCACTTTTTAAATTTGGGTGTCTCTGTGGATATTTGGGAAACTCTTATCTCCTGGCTTTGCAGAGGTGTGGATTATTTTCCTTGAAGTTGGACAGTATGTGTTAATTCTCTTTAAATAACTATTTATTTTTTCGATTTTTTTTTCCACTGTGCTGAATATATTTTGCTGAACGTATACAGGACTATTATTTCATGATATATATTTTAAAGTATGTGATTGTAAATAAATGTTTATTTTTTACTTTGTAGAGTAACTCTAAACATTGTGTGGGTTGTAGAGCTACAATTCAGAGTCCTGTTTTGTTAACATTTATAAGTGAATCTAAACTTTCTCCAAGCAACTTCCTTTCCTAAAGTTTTGCTTGCTGCAGTTTATCATATTATATAGTGGAATTTGGGGATTTTTTGAAAAAGCCTTAATATTTCCTGATCTTTTTTTTTGGAATTTATTTACCAAATGTATTCAGAAAAAGACCATATTCTCATTTTTACCACAACAAAATTGAGTGTAAAAATTCATATAGTTTTTACTTGAGTGTAGCTGTCATGAAAACTCTAAAACTGTAGCTCTCCTGTAAAGACTGGGTTCAGCTATGTTCTATTCCTTTTAGATTTCTTGTCTCTGTACTCTACAAATCCACAAACTGAGTGCTAGTATGTGTTGTAGATCAAAGTGTGCAAAATATTAGCTGCCTCCCTACCTGCGAGCTATGTTTGAAAGCATATGTTTTTTTTAATGCACTAGGTGAAAACAATTCTCAGTCCTTAACCTTGGGCATTACTATTGCTGTTGCTCATCTGGTCTGTGCAGCTAGACAGCTTGCTGTTTGGTACTAGACTGCCATCTCATGCTGGTAGAAAAGGGGCTCTCTTACTCTTCTGGTCTTGTTTAGCATTGGACTCTACTCAGGATGGTATTTTAAAAAGGGTAAATAGCATCACTGGGGAACACTGCCTAGAAAAGATGTCAGGGTTGCCTCTGATACCTGTTGATTTCCAGGTAGAGATCACCCATGAAAATCCTCAGATGTGGTGTTCTCTCTGCAAGGGAGACTCTTGTCATAATTTTGCTTTTTTATTGGAGTAGCTGGTGTAGTAATAGGTTTATTCTACACAGGAAACTCAGCAATCTATTTTATAATCCTGAGGGACTGTTTTGCTGATTTTCACTTCCTTTTTGCTGTGTGCAACTGCAGATCTTCAAGGATCCCAGATGCTCAGTCTCCAATGACAACTTATTTTGTGTGTATTAATATGTAAACAAGAGTACAACTGCAATTAGTTATATTATGTAATAATGTGCAGTATTTTTGAACAAACTGTATCAAATTCATGATGCATCAGAAACAATGCACAATTAAAGCAAGGCATCTTGTACCGACTGAGGGTGGTGAGGATGGGCGTTATAAGACAGGTAGGGATTCAAGTTTAGTTCCTGAAGAACTCAGAAGATATTAACCTCACTTTAAGGACTTTAATATATAGGAAAATTGTTTAAAGACTATATAAATTCAAGATTAAAATTCATATCAGTGTGCCCTTGTGGCCAAGAGGGCCAATAGCATCCTGGGATGCATTAAAAAGAACGGGGCCAGCAGGTCAAGGGAGGTGATCCTCCCCCTCTACTCTGCCCTGGTGAGGCCTCATCTGGAGTACTGTGTGCAGTTCTGGGCTCCCCAGTACAAAAAAGACAGGGATCTCTTGGAAAGAGTCCAGCGGAGGGCTACAAAGATGGTGAAGGGCCTGGAGCATCTCTCCTATAAGGAAAGGCTGAGTGAACTGGGTCTGTTCAGCCTTGAGAAAAGGAGACTGAGAGGGGACCTGATCCAGGTCTATAAATATCTAAGGTGTGGGGGGCAGAATGGCGAGGCTGGATTCTTTTCAGTGGTGAATGGAGACAGGACAAGGGGAAACGGCCGGAAACTGCAGCATAGGACGTTCTGCACAAATGTGCACAAGAACTTCTTTACAGTGAGGTGACGGAGCACTGGAACAGGCTGCCCAGGGAGGTGGTGGAGTCTCCTTCTCTGGAGGTGTTCAAGACCTGCCTGGATGCCTATCTGTGCAACCTGGTGTAGGGAACCTGCTTTGGCAGGGGGGTTGGACTCGATGATCTCTGGAGGTCCCTTCCAACCCCTACAATTCTGTGATTCTGTGATATGTATTTAAAAATAAAAGAAATCTGATAATGCCCTGCTGTTCTGGACTTTGATGTGATAATCTTGGTGGAAATTGACTCACTGATTAAGGGAAAACCAGGACAATTTAAATTCTTATTGTCACTTCAAATTTTTATTATATGAAATATTCAGCAACTTTTCCAGTACTTAAAATTCAGTATGAATTAAAAATTTCTTTGCAAATTAATTAGTAAATTAGTAAATATTATTTTTAAAGAAACATGTCTGTGTACGTATATACATGCACAAGTTATTTGGCACTTCATAAAAATGCACTGACAACTAGTCAAATCCATGCTTGTCACTGGATTATGTGTGTACATAACACAAACATATAAGCATACATATGTGAGCACACACAGTGTTCCTTACTCCTTATACAGAGGCGTGACAAGGAAGAACAGGATTATCTACAAAGCATTTTAGAAATGTTATTTATATGGAAAGGATTCTGCAGGATGCAGCATGAACACCATTGCTATATATATGAGAAGTATGTTTGAATGTCATTCACCCTAATTTTAAGAATCTGGAACTATTATATTTTTATTATACAGGTTTGATACAATTGACCACTCTCTATTGACAATGTAAAAGCTGTGCCTGGGTGCATGAGTGGGCAGCCTTGTGAAACATGGATCCATGTGATGGAGTATAGGTTCATAGCCACATAATTTAGGACATTAAGAAACATTAGTGCCGTCCTTATGTTACTTATATTTACACAATAAAGAATGTTAATGTTTCTGTAATTAGCACATCACTATGTTCTGGGTTATTTTATCAGACTCCAAAATAAACAATGAGTTTTGAATATTAACTTTAGATTCAGCAAGTATGTGTCACATGGCAGTTGTAAATCACCTTTTAAAAAAAAAAAAAGGATATCAACATGCTTTTGCCCCAGCGGTCATGAGAAACACTGAAAAACAGTGAGTGTCTGGTCTGGATTTGGAGAGCAGGGAATGCAAATATGTTATTGCCTTCTGTAACTAATGCACACATCTGGATACTTAATAACACTGTTCAGCAATTAAGATTAGAAATAATTGAATTTTAAATCCATCTTGATTATTATGAAAAAAATACGTAGCTAGGAAACTTAAATATTTTAATAACAAGAGATTAATTACAACAGCCTTTTCCAGCATGCGTTTAAAAGTTAACTAGTGAGGGAAAGCTTGAGTCAATCATAGTTGTCTCGCTTTGTTTCCTAAGTATAAAACAAAGGT